AGCCGCCGAGCCGCCCCTGCCGCCCGGCCCTGCCCGTAGGGCGTCGGGGCCCGCAGCCCGGCCGCGCCCCCCGTCAGCGCCCCTCCCGCCGGTTCTGAAGTGGAGTAGGAGGCGGTGGTCCGGAGAGCTCCCGTCCGCCATGAAGGCGGAGGCGGCCGCCTCGTCGCAGGAGCCCCCGGCCGGGCCCGACGGTGGCGTCAGTAACCTGCTGAGTAGCCGGAAGCTGGTGGCCGTGGGGGCCGTGCTCGGCTGGCTTCTGGTCATCCACCTCCTGGTCAACGTGTGGCTTCTGTGCCTTCTGTCTGCCTTGCTGGTGGTCCTCGGAGGATGGCTGGGCTCCGACGCCATCGTGGGGGCTTCAGGTCGGCTGCACCTGGAACGCTTCATCCCGATGGCCACGTCCCCCCCAAGCCCGGAGGCAGAGCGGCAGCTGGAGCAGGAGATCGACCGCACTCTCCGGATGATCATGCGGGACTTCGTGTCGTCGTGGTACCGCACGGTGAGCCAGGAGCCAGCCTTCGAGGAGGAAATGGAGGCGGCCATGAGAGGGTTGGTCCAGGAGCTCCGGAGGAGGATGGCCATGGTGGACAGGCATGCTCTGGCCCAGAGGGTTCTGACTCTCTGCGGTTGTCACCTGCAGAGCTATATTCAGGCAAAGGAGGCCACGGCAGGGCAGCAGAGTGGCACAGTGGAGCCCTCCCAGCTCTGGGAAGCTTACTGCCGGGTCACCGCCCCACATCCTGCTGTACAGAGTCCCAGCGCTGAGGTCACCTATACACGTGGCATCGTGAACGCGGTGCTTCAAGGACTGGTGCCAAAGCCCCACTTGGAGACCCGGACCGGTCGCCATGTAGTGGTGGAACTCATTACTTGCAATGTAATCTTACCACTGACCAGCAAGCTCTCAGATCCTGACTGGATCCACCTTGTACTAGTGGGCATCTTTTCCAAGGCCAGAAATAATCCGGAAGAAGTGGTGAAACCACTCTGCCCGGCCAGTGCCCTGGAACAGCCCTCGGTGCCCACATCTCTGCCTCTGACTGTTGAGGAACAGAGCCCACCAGAGGTGAGCGCTCCGTCTCCAGCAGCAGCCCCCCTGCTCCTCAACTGTAGTGAGCCAGAGGGGCCTCCACACCCCTCCCCAGAAGTTGAAGAAGGCTGTGAAGCACTTGAGGGAGACTTGGGGGAAGTACTGGAAGAAAGAAAAGTTGGAAACAACTCTTCTCATTTCCTGCAGCCAGATATTCGAGGCCCCCTGTTCTTGTGTGACGACACAGAGCTGGAGTCCCCGTTGTCTGAACTGGGCAAAGAAACCATCATGCTCATGACCCCAGGCAGCTTCCTCTGTGACAGGATCCAGGACACCCTGTGTGCCCTAGGAGGTTCCCAGTCCCTGGAGTCTAAGGACGGTGAGAGAGCCAGAGGAATTGAAGGGGCAGAAGCTGAGGAGGGTCCAGGAACAGAAGCGGAGACAGGCCTGCTTGTCTCCATGCTGAACTCCTGCCCAGAGATCCAGATTGACGCAGCAGACAAGGAGGCAGAGCAAGGAGATGTCACCTCTCAAACAACTTTGCTGGCCAGTCCGGAAAGGACGTGCCCTTCACGACCCTCGTGCTTAGAGAAAGATCTCACCGATGGTGTGAGCTCCCTAGATCCTAGTCTGCCACAGGTTCTGCTTTCCTCCTCCCCACCTGGTCCCCTCAGCTCAGCCACCTTCAGCTTTGAGCCCCTCAGCAGTCCAGACGGCCCTGTTGTCATCCAGAACCTTCGTATCACCGGCACCATCACTGCTCGCGAGCACAGTGGCACCGGGTTCCACCCGTACACGCTCTACACGGTGAAGGTAACTGGAGTGGAGCTGTGAGCGCCTGCTCTGGTCTGGGGATGGGTTTGGAAGGCAGAGTCAGTGAAGCTCATGTTTCAAGGGAGTAGGGTACTCTTATTTGGAGGTACTCTCCGTCAGGCCTGATCAGGGAATCTCATTTGCTGTGGTTAATTCAGGAAGTAGCTATATGTGAGTGGTCTGAAGCTCATTTGTGAAGCCGAGTAGGCTTCTGTCTGATACCCTGACAAACAATCCTACAATCTCAGGGCTATCAGGAGACTAAGAATCATATATTTCATTGGTTCCCAGTGGATACAGTCTTGTCCAGAAATTCTTTCCAAACTTTTTCCCTGCTAATTTCTTTCTTTTTAAAAATACTAGCATCTTTCATAGTTTGTTTAGGAAGGAAGGTTATTTACCTGTCTCTACCTCACAAGGTAGCAAGTTCCTCGTTCCTAGAGATGTTTTAGCACAGTAGTAGGAACTGCTTGGCAGAGATGACATGAAGGAGGTTCAGATGGCTGGTTCAATAGAGCCGCAACTCCCTAAAACTGGTTTTAGGATAGGCTGCCTCCAAGTCACCTGGAGAGTTGCATTTTTTTAAAAAATAGAATCCTGGGACCCATTCTGGGAAATTCTCATTCAGAATCCATCCGAGCCTATCAGAATCTGTATTCTGATAGCAGATTCTGCAGCCCAAGTGATTTTGAGATGCAGCCAAGTTTGGGAATGTACAGTATTGATTAGTGGCCCCCAAGGAGCAGAACATTCCACAGAAAGTGTCATAACTCCCAGGTGCTCCAGGTTTGAGAGCCCCAACCTGAATTCCACTGGCATCTCTTATGTCGGCCTTTCCTTCTCAGTACTGGTCGGAGGGACGACTTTGCTCCTTTCAGCTCATAATGAATACCTCACTCTCTGCCTCTAAAACATTACTCTGCCTCAGATCCCACCAACAAGGAGTTTGTCTCTTCCATCACATACCCACAGTATAATACCTCAACCAAACAATGACCGTGACCTGCTCCTAATGAGAACAAGCACATACATTGTTCTTCCACAGCATTCATTATATCTTAACTACTCTTGTCAGAAGGCCTTCCCCTGTAGGTATGAAATTACAGCTTTTTGTGCCATTCAGGGTGTTTGCTCTGGGGGAACATAGAGTCCCACTTCCCACATACTGGCCCTCCAAGCATAGGAAGACAGAAACTTTCACCCCATAAAACATCTCCAGCCAGATGAGTCCATGACATTACATCATGCAAATGATCTGTGCTTCGGAAGAAAAATGTAGTGTAGCTCCAAGAATAATTAATCTGCCCAAAGCAAAACAAAAACACATTCTTTAAGGCTTTTCAGGCAAACAAATGATTTTTTTTATCAGCTATTTCGGATTTTTTCTTCCCCCAACTAATATAGATAATGACTGGTTGAGTACCATGACAGAATGGTTACTGCCTTGTAACATCCAGCCCCGTAATTAGGGGTGAAAGAGGCGGTATCATTTTTATCAGCGTTGTACATTCTGTCGTATCCCCTGTCTTTGGGGTCTGAAAAATAGTTTAAAGAGTGTGTTTGCAGGGGAGAAGAGATCAGTAAAGCTCGTTTCTCACTTCGTGGTCCACGTCCACTGCAAAATGCATCTCCTTCCTTAATTCAGCCCCCTTGGAGTTTGGGTTTCTCCTTACCACCTAGAGCAGCTGTCAGATCTGACAGGTTCAGGGACAAAATAGGAAGGTCTTGCTCCCCTTACGCCTCCTGTACTTGTAACGTGGCCTGTGAGCTGACGCCGTAAACAAGTGTGTTCACTCGCAGTACGAGACGGCCCTGGACGGCGAGAGCAGCGGCGGCCTGCAGCAGCTGGCCTACCACACCGTCAACCGCCGCTACCGCGAGTTCCTGAACCTGCAGACCCGCCTGGAGGAGAAGTCAGATCTACGAAAGTTCATCAAAAGTCAGGCATTTCCCCAGCCCCAGAATGCCCGCTTGCTCTCACACCTGGCACCCTAATCTGAGAGGCTGGAGGCCTGCTGGTTTGCGGGGAGGGTCGGGGGAGAATGTGGCCTCGAGGGTCCTGTGTGCCCCAGTTTGCTTACAGGTGTTTTGGGTTTAGCGCTGGACAGTGTTGATGACAGTCTTTCCAAGGTACTTCTTTGCCGCTGAGTCCTTTGTCCTGGGGCCGCATCTAGTTTAAGCTTAAGAAAGAAACTTTCATATTTCTACCTGTGCCTATGAGGTATCAGGAAGTGTTAAATTAACTTTTCCAGGTTCCCTTGATTGATTTCTCATAAGTATTAAAATATTATCTAGAAATCTTTACCACTTTTCCTTTAACAGCAGGCTTTTTTGTGTGCTTTTTGACACTTGTAAGGCACGGGGACAGTAAGAAAATAGAAAATTTAAAAATAAGCTAGTAAGTAGCTACTTTGTTTAAAAAAAAGACACCAGTGGTCACCCAAATAAATATTTTAATAAGTTTTTAGGCATAAACTGTGGATTTCAGTTATACACTTTCTTAATAGCAGTAGCCAACAGTGACTGAGCCAAGCTTAAAAATACATGCTCAGTTCAGGTCTAAGCACTTTACACGTATTAGCTCATTTAAGTCTCATAGCAGTGTATGAGATAGGTACTGTCATTATCCCCATTTTACAGAAAAGAATCAAAGAAAGATTAAGCAACTTGCCTAAGGTCTTTATTGTAGTAGGGATTGGAGCCAACATTTAAACTTGGGCGTTTGGACTTCAGGGCCCTTATTCATAACCAGTGTAGTGTATTGCCTCTTATACCTTAATATTATCATTAATAGTGGAAGTAGGTTGTATGTACTGTATCCCAGGGGTCATATTTGGAACTCCTGAAACAAGAAAATCCCAGGAAGGGGAGACCCCAGGGAGGGACTCGAGGGATGAGCAAGCGCCCCAGGCCTTGGAACCCGGCCCCCTCGCCATCCTCGGGCTGCCTCTCAGCTCCAGCCGTGGGTAACGGGAGAAAAAAACCCCAGGAAGTATATTCAGCAGTTCTGTTTTCTTTAGATATGTGTTATGTTTTATATGGAATAGCTCTTAGTGAGTGTTACATGAATTAAGTCTTTTTTTTTTTTTTTTTTTAAGATGTGAAGGGTCCTAAAAAGCTCTTTCCAGACCTTCCATTTGGAAACATGGATAGTGACCGAGTGGAAGCCCGCAAGAGCCTCTTGGAATCATTCCTAAAGGTCAGCAGCTTCTGTTCCGGCTCTGCTCCTGGTCTCTCTCCCAGACGCCCAAGCCATGGTGAAGAGATGTGGGGACCAGAATTTCTCTTTGAAGTCCTTGTGTCTTTTGCAGCAACTCTGCGCCATTCCTGAGCTCGCTAACAGCGAGGAGGTGCAGGAGTTCCTTGCCCTGAACACAGACGCGCGCATCGCCTTCGTCAAGAAACCGTTCGTGGGCTCCCGGATAGACAAGGTGCGAGGTGGGCCACCGGGGTCGGCCTTAGCTCCTAGCGGTGTTCAGGCTGGGTCTGAAAAGCACGGGAGGGGCGTGGGAGGGGCAGCACAGAGGAGTGCGTAGAACATGGGCTAGATTTTCAAGACCTGTTGCCAAATATTGGTTAGATCATCAGCTTTCTGAATGATGGGGAGCAACTATGAGGACACAGTACCCTTTACACAGTCAGTGCACGTGTTTCCTGGGGGCATCATGACATTATTACTCCAGTGGAGGGAGGTAAGGATAGATCTGGGCCTCCACAGACGGTGGGGGCAGGAAGGACTCTTCTGGAGCAGAAGGTCATTCCAGTGCCGGTCACTCGGGGAAGAGAGCCCTAGGACAGGACACTAAGCTGGATTTAGATCGGTATAGTGGTTCTCTGCTGGTGAGCAGTGTGAGAGAATTGCCCCTTCTTTAGGAGGGTGTCTCGGAACCTTTGGAGATGGTCGGAGAAGGACGTTTGTGTAACCGTGTGCAGTGACTACCAACTGGTTTTAGAGTCTCCAGGTCAGAAGTCTGAGGTTTATGCTTATCAGAACTGGCGTATGTTTTAACAGGTTAGAGAACACTGACTCTGGCAGAAGAGGGCTCTCCCTCTTCTCATCTAGACTTCAGGGGATAAAGTGATAAATTGGAATGTCATGTGGTAGGAGTTAGGAGATGTTCACTGCTCTGAGGAAGAACTGCAAACTGGAAAGGGATAGACGAGATGAGATCCTCAGAGTTCCATGCGGACGTATTTGTCCACGCACACGTGTTCCTTCATTGACTGTTTTCAACGTCTGCCTCCCGCACGCCTGTTTAAAGCCCTGCACTGTACTAGTTGCTAGTGATACAGGCGTGGACAAGACAGGTCTGGACCCTCCCTGCAGACTGCGGTTCTGTGAGCCTGGAGAGGGAGTCGTGTTTTGTAAGCTACTTAATCCACATTCATACTGTTCTGGGTCCCTTCCCTGGTTTCTGTCCCCTGGCTTTTACTGTGGTCCTGCTCAGCCGTTTCTGCCTCGTCGTGGCTGTGCTGGCTGGGGTCCTTGTGGGAGCCTCCCCGGGTGCAGTGGGCCTGGTGCCACTGAGCCAGCAGTGTTAATTAGGCACCTGAGGGAAAGGCGGTGTTTCCTTCCATTACTTTGATATTTTAGGGTTTCATTTATTTCTTTATTTTTCTTTTTAGCAAATGTCTACGTGTCATATTCCCATTCTGAGAAATAGAGATAATTCTTACTCTTTCAGTGAGGACTGTTTCATCTTTTTAAGTAGAGAAGTTTATAGCAGCTCCATTCCTGAATTTTAACCTGAGTGATTTTTGTTATTCTTTCTGTAGTTAAGGAAGAGAAATTGTTTGAATTAGCAGGAAAACCAGTTTTTTTCCTCTGTGAATTGCTATGAGCATTTTTGTATTATATTGCTTCCAGACCTTAGTTCTTATTTTGATAATCTTCCTCACTTTTCCTTTTCTTCATATGTTCCTCCCTGTGTTACTTCCACTTAATCACCTCTTGGTGAAAGGATTACCAATTTGGAAATGAAAAATCATTCTTTTGGATGAAAAGAGAGAAATTGAACAAGGAAAGTATTTCACAAGCCTGTAGGCTCCCAGATTTTTATTTGTCCCATTGTTTTGTCTTCTTTTCGCGTGGCATTGTTTGTTGTAACTCTCAGGGAGAGGATTTTTATGACCACAGACAGGAGGGGAGAACATGGGCACTGGGTTGCGAGCTGTGCCTGACTGCCGGCAGATGCGGCTCTGCTGGATGAGCAGCTGCCTGCCCGGCCCAGGGCACACAGCCCCTGGAGAGAGTGCTCCCTGGGGTGCTGTCTGACCTGCATCTCTGACCCCTGCAGACCGTGGTGAGCGCGATCGTGGACACCTTGAAGACAGCATTTCCTCGCTCCGAGCCCCAGAGCCCCACCGAGGAGCTGAGTGAGGCAGAGACAGAAAACAGACTCCAGACAGAAGGCAAGAAGGCCAGCAAGTGAGAAACCCTCCCCACTTCGCACCTTCCTCCCCAGTTTTCAGCCAAAGCCCACCCCCACCCTTAAGCCCTAGGAGAGCGGGATGCGTCATGTGTACCAGTCTTTATGCAGAGCCGGGCCCCAGCCTCCTCAGCGCTCCGCCCAGAAGAGCCTGAGGCCCCGCGCAGGAAGCCTCGCTGGGCGTTTGTCCTGCCGTGGGAGCCCGGGGCCCACGCTGCCCGGGGGTTCCTCACCAGAAGGAAGACTCTAGCACATGGATATTCTCCTTGTCTGTTGTCCTGGAAAATTGAGCTGTTTCTTTCCTTTTAAGAATTGAGGTTTATGACTGATCTCCGATTGCCATCATTTCTGGAAATCTTGGCTCAAGTTGAATACCCGAGCAGTAAACAGGAAAGGGCTGGAGTGGACCCAGCAAGGCCGGACTGGGTAACTGTTACGGCCGCTGCTCTCCCCTGCTCGAGGCTCCCAGGTGCTCTGGGAGAGGACACGGAAAGGGAGGACCCCGCCCTGAGTTTCCTGGACACATCCTATCTATGTCCGGGCCACTATGGAGAATAAGAGAGTGTGTGTGTGTACATCTGTCTGTCTGTCTTTGTCTCTGTTCATGTTTCACAGGCCGGCAAGAACACTTGCAGTTCTTAGCCTCTTCTTCTTATTGGGCCCATATTTTGAAGGGTGACCATGAAGCTTGTGCTTATAAGAACCCTGTTCCTCAAAACATTCCTGTTGCCCGGAGCACAGGGGGACAAGTGGATGTGCAGACAGGCGCGGACAGCGACAGCCTTGGTCCGTGCCGCTTGTCTGTTTACCCTTCAGCAGATCTGTCACGAGTGCGTAGTGTGTGCCAGCTGCTCTTCTGGCCTGTGGAAACATGGCCCTGACAGGCTGGTCCTTGTATGACATTAGCAGAAGCCCTTTCACAAGTGCATTGTGGGCACAGCTGTGTGTAAGAGTTGCACGTATATTAAGAATTGCCAGAATATGTGTTGTTTGGGGGATTTCAGGGCCAGGTGTCTCCTGGCAACTCTGACCACAGTAGACGCCCGAGGTTAAGTATGTGTTCTTGTTTTGAGGTGTTAGTATTTTCAGCCCTTTGTACGGGGATCAAGACCGTGAACTACATACTGTTTCTGCTCTTTATTTCTGTGCCAGGTCCAGACTGAGGTTCTCATCCAGTAAAATGTCTCCAGCACTGAGTATCAGTGAGACACACGAGAAGATTCTCTACTGTTTCCGGGAAGGCGGTGTGGTAAGAGGTCCCTAGAGAACTAACTCCGGCGTTCACGGCTCTGATGTCGACTCTGCAGTTCCGGGGGTTGACACGTTCCCAGGGTCAGAAAGGACGTAGGTGCCTTGTGAAGACTTAGCCAACGTCTGGGTCTCTGGCTTGCGTTCTAGGCGTATCTCCTCCAAGCGGTTTGGAATTCCTGAAGTTCCGGGCTAGCGGGTTGGCTCCTCAAGGGTGGTGGGCTTGGGATACTGGGTGACAGAATGAGAAAGCAAGTTCCTGGAAGAAAACCCGAAGTTTCTATGGCAAGTGAGACTACAAAGGCATTGTTTTCCTTGCAATTTAGGTAAAACGTAAAAACTCTCCTTAGCTGGTCACAGAGTCAGTTGGGTCCCCTACTCGTGACACTGCGGGGAGGGAACAGGGGGACCCCGAGTGCTGCAGTCGCCCTCCTGCTCTCCGCATCCTCAGTGACCTGCCTCTGGCTCTTTCTTCAGGAGTCAGAGATCCTCTCCACATCTGGGATGGAATCCTTTATTGAAAAACAGACGAAGTTACTCGAGATGCAGCCAGTGGATGCCCCAGGGAAAGATTCTGAGCAAATCTCCAAAGGGTGCGTGGCTGGTCACGTGTCGGACGCAGCCGTGCCAGCCCAAGACCTCAGCAGCAGTGACCAAGGTGAGAGGCAGCAGGAGGCCGGACACAGTCCACCTGGGACTTGTGGTCCCTGGGGGGCATCGCTTCAGCCTCTCTTCTGAGCAGGCCACACGTTAAACTCTGACGTGTGATGTCCTATGCCAGTGCTCGGGTCAGAGAGGACTCGGGCACAGCCCCAGAGCTGAGTCGAGCAGAGGGACATGGCCTCAAAACAGGGCGTCCCAGTCCAGCAAGGTAAGATCCGGGCTTACAGTACCGTCCCTCTTTCGTGCTCCGGCATTTCTTGGTCTACTCCCCGTCCTTAGAAACTTCCTTCCCTTGGTGTCTGTGGTACCACTTTCCTGGTTTTCTTTTCGCCTCTCTTGTGATCCTTCCTCAGTCCCCTTTGTTGGCTCCTGCGCCTTCTAGAGCTTTATTTTTGGCTCTCTGTTCCACTCTGCACACTCCTCCAGGGCGACCTCATCTATGCCGTTGGCTTCAGCTCTAACACGTGTGCGGGTGATGCCTGAATGTTGGCTGTGTGTTTCCAGTTGCCCACTGGACATCTCCGCTTAGATACACTGCGGGGCAGCTGAAGTACAGCATGTACAAAATGGAATTTTTCTTTTTCCCTGTTCCTCCGGTTTCATTACTGCCATGGCAGGTGACACCACCCAGTTACCCAGGGCAGAGCAGGGAGGGGGAAGAGTCATAAGCGTGTGACACAGGGCACGTTCACTTCCCAGAGGTGCAGGTGCTTTCTACGGAGCAAAGCTGGGAGCCCTGGATATTAGTACGTTTGCTGAGCTGGAACTCATAAAAAGAAAGCTTTTTAAAGCCTCCAAGACAAAGGCTCCCACTGAAAATAAAGGATCCCAAAATCTTGGGTTCAGGCGAGAAAAGGCCGGTTTCCCCGTTGTGCCTCAGGTGCCCACATCAGTCACCTGGCCTCTGCTGTGTGGACCTCAGCTTACCTGTGAGAACCGGGCGTGCCACCCCAGCCCTTCACACACAGCTCACTGGGTGAGTAGACGAAGTGTTAGGACGGCAGGAACATCGGAGGACCATGAGAGACTGAATGAGATGGTGAAACGATGCACTTCTAGCCAAAATCAAGCCTTTACATTTTGAACATCGTATCTCTACGGGGGTAATTTGTGCCCAAGCCCTTCTTCCCGCCCTGAGACTCAGAATGCTCACGTAACAGGTGACTTTCCACTGCCTTCGGGAGGACTTGGTGCCTTGTTTGCTTTTGCTTATTTTTTGCTGCTGTGACTCGTTGTCACCACATGGTGGCAGCTGTAGGCAAATTCAGACCTGAGAAGATAACAGTTGAGGAGGGCGAGTCGGGCTCGGGATGGTGCTGTCCCCAAGGAACTGGAGCCCCGTTCTGAGCAGATGACTAGAAAGCACTGGCGCCAGCCCCCTCGATACAGTGCAGAAAGCGGAAAGCTATGTTGGGTGGGGTTAAGAAGAAAGTAGGATTCGATTCTACCCGATTTGCCTACATTTGAAATCGTGCGTTTTCTAACAAACCTTTAAGTGGCCCGGAGAATGCCGTTGTTCCCAGACTAACGGAACTGTCGATGATTGATTATAATATTAGTCACAGCTGTAGCACAGATACTGGAAATTCTCTCAGGAACATTACGTATTTCTGGGGCAGTCTCCTGGGAAGCAAATCAGAGGGGGCCCCATTGTGGGGCCCGGGCACAGGGTGAAGGAGGGGTGCTTCCGTCCGTGAAGTCCACCTGCTCCAGGAGTCAGCCTGGCCTGGCTGCGAGCTCATCAGGGGCCCTTCCAGCCCTGGGGACAGGAAAGAAAGGAGTCATCGTGGCATCTTACCAAAGGTGCAGTGTTCTTCCTAGAACCACACCTGATCTCAAAATCAAACGGAAGTCTCCTGGATCCTACCCCATCAGCTCCATGTAATGGAATGCTTTCAAAGCAACTTTTTGACAGAATGAATCCCATGTCTGCTGCCCATTACATTTCCATGGTGCTTTGTGGAGGCGAGTGGAACAGAAGGATGGAGGAGACCAGGCCCTGCCAGTTCCAGTTAGTCACCAGTTGTGAGCACTTACTTGGAACAAAATGTGTTCAGCTTCCTGGGGGAAATACAAAAGAAACAGAAGCTAAGTAGGCAAAATAATTAGATGCAAAACCTTTTAGAGATTAAAAACTTTTGCTAAGTGATTGTGGAACATAAAAGAATTGTAAAGGAGTATGGAGCCTCTCACTAAACTTCGTAGAAATGAGGCAGACATTTCGGACTTGACTCCAGGTGGATTACAGACGACCTGTTATGAAGACGGCGACAACCCAGTGCGCCGAAATGCGCTCCTCGATCACAGATCTCTGACTTACTCTTGGTGCCTTTTCATCCCCAGGAACAGAGACGGAGTTGGCTGACACAGCCCTGGATCTGCTGCTTTTGCTGCTGATGGAGCAGTGGAGATGGCTGTGTACGGAAAACATGCGGAAAGTTCTTCATCTCCTCTTTGGGACGCTAATTCAGAGGTAAGACCGCCGAGTTCCCCTTCCCATCAGAGTCTCAGCTTGGACAGGGTTGGATGTGTGCTTGTCTCCACTAGAAAGGGACGGTGTGGCGTGCAGGAAGCCTGGGCCGTGAGAGAAGAGCAGCGCTCTGTTCCAGGGGCACGGGCATGAAGGCTGCCCACAGAGTGTCACAAGGCTCTCATCAGTCAGCTTGTCTATTTGAATGGGCCTGCTTCCGCAGGCCTTCCGGCATAAGCCCTAAGTCACAGGCACTGCCTGTCATCTCAGACTACTTCATCTGAACTCTTCCTACACTGGGCTCAGTTCTCCACCCAGCTCTACCCCAAACCCTAAACTGTTCACACTGTGACAGTGGGCGTGTCTCTTAGCTGACAGTACACAGTCCCTGTGACAGTGAACAGTGAGAAAGACCAGGACAGAGTACATGAGTGCTCTCAAAACAAAGATGATTTTCTCAGGAAGGGGGTACGTATTCACAGCGGAGGAGGTACTGCTGGCACGGATGGTAAGGAATAGAAGGTACCTAGGTTTAAAACTTGGACCTCACAATTCAGGCTTTGTGATCCCAACATCACTTGAATCTCCTGAAAGAGCTGCACAGAGTTTTTAGCTGCTGACTTCCTAACCATGAAACTGATGCAGGCTTTGCTAGACTGAAGAAGGCCAGAGGCACTGTCTCCGGACCAGGCAGACACACACGGTGCTTGAGCTTTGGCCACTCTTGCTCTGACCTCCCTCGTAGGAGACATCCTGGCAGATCCCACAGTGAGAAGAGGCCAAGTCCTGAGCCCTTCTCTTAGCATGTGGCTCATGCTAATAGGTCACTCCAAAAATAAAAGTTAATTTTAAAAAAAAATTGTGTATCCTGCAGCGAGTAGGAAATCCGTTAACAAGCAATTAAATCTCCCCTCCCACACCTGAAGCTACCCAGGATCAGGGAGACTTAAGGCGTTGTCATTAAGAGACCAAGCGGAAGAAGAGGGTGCATGTTTGTGCTTGCTGAGTGCTTATCCTGTGCCGGCACCTGACCTCCGTGGACATAATTTTTTAGAGCAACCAAGTGAGGTAGGTGGCCCCATCACACAGAATAAGAAAATAGAGCTTGGCAAGGTCAGCTGACTTGCCCGAGGTCATAGTTAATGACAGAGCTGGAGTTTGAAGCCAGGTATGCACAACTCTGAAGCCAGCATGTCCTGTATAATCACAGTCTGAAGGCTGGTCTCCACGTGATGCCACATATCAGATGCTGATTGGTCTCTGCCTTTAGGTTCCGCCCGTCCATTCTCCATACTCAGCCCTGCCTCAAGACCGCTTTTCTGAAAAGCAAATGTGAACATATATCCTTCACTTAACACCCTTCAGGGGTGCCTTCTGCCTGCAAAAGTGATTTTTCCAGCATGCTTCCCAGAGTTCAAGGTTTCACAGAGGGCCTCAGAAGCCAGCTTGGAGGCCGGGGGTCCTGATTGGACCGTGATGCATAAAGCAGTTGTATTTTCATCAGCTGAGTAGACTGGGGATCTAGGTAAGGTTTTGTTTGAAAAGGGCTCCACTTGTTTTAAATATATACTTATTATATTACAATTCCGGCTCCTTTCTTACGTGGAGTGATCTGGTCCCAGCCTCATTTCCGGTTCTCCCTCATGCAAGCCGTCCCCCGGGGCCTGAGCTCTGATCGCTCTTCCTTCAGGTCTTGTTCATGCTGTTGTCTGTGCCTCCGTGTCTTCTCCACTCGTCCTTCTCTTCGCTCCCTCTGCCCCAAACTTTCCCTCTTTTTGTCTACTTGGCATACTGCTAAATATTTTTCAAAAAATGAATAATCAGTGCCATTCTGTGAAATTTCCTAGGGCATCCCCTCCCGTTTTCCCCCAGAACTAAGAGGCCCTCTTCTCTACTCCTAGTTTTGATAATAGTACTGATCACCGTGTATTAGAGAAATGGCCCACTTTCCCCAAACCTAGTTCTCCTCAGCTGGGGGGCAGTTTTCCCCTAGGGTGCCTGGCACTATCTGGAGTTACTTTTGGTTGTTGCATCTGGGAAGGGAGGCAGGGAGTTACTTCATCTGGTGGTTGGAGGCCAGGGGCACCACTGAGAGTCCTGCAGGACACAGGACAGCACCGCCCTCCTCCGCCGCCCTACCCCAGTATCATTAGCATAAAGGTTGAGAAACCTTGCCTGGACCTGCGGTTCTTTAAGGGCCAGAACCAGCCTTTGTCCCCATAACGTACACATAGCCTGAGACAAAGAAGACACTCATTTAGTATTGAATAAAAGAATAAACATTTCCCTTCTCAGCACCTCTGCACTCACAAGTCAAGTCTTCCTATGTTTTGTTCAGTCCCTTGTGAACGTTGCTGACTAAGCCTTCATTTCGCTGCTCCCTCCAGCGGCTCCCCTTTGCTAAGCGTCCAAGTACTTTCAGAAAATGGGACGGTCCTAAACGAGCTCACGTATCATAGTTGATCACACCCCCCCCACCCCCACCGAGTTATTTACATCGTAGATTGGTTTCAGAACCCAAGATGTTGCTCAGTAGTAACAGAAAAGTATAGATGAGTCTGGAGAAACTCAAAAAAAGATTGAAATTCATATATTAAATAGGTAGGAAGGTTACCTGAAGTTTGAGTAACTCAGAATATTAAAGAACTTGGGCAAGAAAGGAGAGAGAAGTCTATTTGGGGAATTATGGAAAATCATTGAAGAAGTGGTATTTTCCAGAGCTAGGGTTCTTGGAGCTTTAAAACAGGAAGCTTAAACCCAAGGGGACTGCAGGCTGCGAGAATTCCAAGCCAGGTTGCGTTGCCTCAGAGCGGTGATGATAAGTTCTCTCGCGACAGAGAGAAGGCAGGGAAGTGCAGGGGTTGGGATGTGAAGAAGGAAGGAGGTGACGCTCTGGAGAGTAAGCTGTTTCCTGGCCTGACTGGTAGGAACTGGCGAGGCTGGGCTGTGGCGTTGATCCCCCTGTACCTTAAATACTCCTCTCCAGTTGGGGGATTGTTCTGGCCTTATTCCTTTATTTATTGAAAAAATACTAAGGGCTGGTCAGTAGTGGACAAAACAGACAGATGTCCCTCCTTTCACGTGTGTTACGGCTTTGTGGTGGTGAGAGCGGAGGGCCTTGTCCGTGATCACAGAGCAAGTGCTGGTGGAGCCAGATGTCACACCCAGGTGTTCCAAAGCCCAGGTTTCTATTCACTGCAGTGGACTGCTGCTCTGCTGCGTTCAAGCTCCCCGAGCTTTGGTTTCCTCGTCTGCAAAGTAGGGATAACAGTGATGTCTGTCCCCAGGTATCTGCATAGAACACGTCCAGTCAACGTGAGGTCTTCATATTTGTGCTTCAGAAAAAGGAAAGAAGGATAAAAAGTATATTCTGTTTCCACTTTCTCCAGCTAGTGGCCCCCGATTCACTGCTCAGTTCATGTCTTCAGGGTGCCCCACCCATGTGTCCTCCTGGAGCTTCCACTGCCCCTGTTTTGCGTATCTCTCTGAGTCACACAGGGCTGGGCTTGTAAACCATACGGCGTTGTGAGGTCTTTCGCGGTGACTTTGTGCCAGTGGACTCACGTGTTAACGTCACAGGCAGAGCATCCCCGTGTCCAACGGCAGGAAGCAGGCCTCCTGGTCTCTGCAGTGCAGCAAGCACAGGTCCCGTGCAGGGTTCAGCAGTGTTTTCCAGGTCCACTGTGCTCCTGGCTCCGTGGGCGGAGGGAGCTGCTGGGGCCCCGCGGTGCCCTCGGAGGAGGAGGACTTGGGTTGGGCCGCGTTCCTCACCTGTCCATCCCCGTGCCCGGGAGGACTGCCGGAGCCACGCCTCGGGCCAGCCGGGCGGACGGCTGTCTGGGGAACGGAAAGGCGCAAAGCCCACGTGCAGATCGAGCCACAGACGTAGCCCGGGAGAGGGCTTGCAGCCGGGCTCCCCTCGACTTTCTTCTCTTTCCACTTTTTTAAAAAATTGGGTGGCATTTTTTTGTTAAAGGGGGAAAATTCTTACTGGTTTTAGTGAATTTGAAGGAAGCCAGTATGAGTATTGTGCACGAACAGAACTTTGTGGCTAGTTACTTTCAGAAAACGCCTTGCATCTGTGGTCTGTGACCCGTGTTCATCATGGGCATTTCCAGGTGAAGACTGGTGTTCACTGAGTTGTCTCATACCCCTTCCTGTCAGAAAGTTCTGATGTCTAATCAAACTTTCTTCGTGAAGTCCTTTTGGTTTTGCATGAGCTGCAACAGCTTGACACCACCCTCACCCCAAGCCTCTGCAGACAAACGAGAATTAAGTGGGGAGTCCTGTCCCTCCCTGTTCACGGCCTTTCTGTCAGTCTCTCTCTCTATAAAGCATCGTTCCCATCCTTCTAATGGTTTACATGGGCCTCTTCTCAAATATCTCACGCGGGGTTCACACTGGTTTTGAAGCTTCCGTGAGGGAACAGTCAAGAAGCCATGGGTGTCCGGGGAGAGGACCCCAGCGCCCCCCAGAGGCTCAGAGGGTCTGGCACCGGCGACCCACGGGCTCGCAGCAGCAAGCGCCCGCGCGTGGGACACGTGGAGCAGAGCTCACTTCAGGGTCCAGAGTGTAGACACTGGTCTTGTCAGCTTCAAGATTTACCACCCAGCAAGCACTGGCTGGGAGTTTACCTGGTGCAGACACTGTGCTGAACGTTGTAAGCGGGTCATTTCATCCCCTCCGGAGCCCCGTGAGAGGTATTATGATCCCCATTTCAAAGATGCGGAAACTGAGACCTCCGTAGATTGTGGCTGTTTGGTAAGTACACCACAGGCACAGCTTGAACCCGTTTGTCTGCTGCTCAGCTGTAGTGACTGTCTCTCAGGATCAGACTCTTGCCCTGTAATTTGAAGGCGTAAGAGCCAGCCCAGAAATCATTGACTCAGAGCCGTATATGTTCCCCAGGAGGGGACCGTCAGTCAGTTTGTGAGACGGGAACTGCACTTCCACACACGCACACCCGCACGTCACACAGCGCCCTGCAGCGCCCTGAAGTCAGC